CTGGTCCCAGACCTGTCTTGGAGGCTGCTCAGAGGGAGCGGGGTGAGCTGCAGGCTGCCTAATCCGTACTTTGCTCTTCATCCCGTTGGAAATACGTGTTTCTCCCAGCTGATAGTTGAAGGGTTGACCCTGCTTTGAGCAGGGGGGTTGGGCTAGGTGATCTCCAGAGCTCCTGTCCAACCTCAATGTTTCCGTCATTCTGCTTTCCTTTCCCCCCACTAGGGACTCAGGATGTTTTCGTTTGCTTGCTCAGCGCAGAGGCAAAGGCTGCTCTCATTAAAGGCTGAGACACAGCAGATTGGGGGCTTCTCCCTCGTCCCTCTTTCCATCTGTGCCTGGTGCAGCGTGGCCCTTTCGCAGGTGGGTGCTTGGGCCGCTGGCACAGCGCAAATACTTTATTTCTGAGGTGTTGACCAAAAAAGAGGGAAGGGGAAAGTTTTGCAAGTATCGCAGCAGGATTTTCTATCGTGCCTGCAGTTTCATCAGTGGCTTGAGCCTGAAATTGCAGTTTAGGAAGTTGCTCTGCGTTAGCAGGGTGTCCTGCACGTTGCAGCTATGACAGTGGGTTGAGTCTGTTCCAAAAGAGGCTCCTCTGATTTGAAGGATGCGTTCCAGGGTGCTGCTGGGATTACGACGGTGTTTCAGTGTGGTCTTAATCATGGTTTTCTCTTGTGTTTTTCTTAATGTTACTCCATGGGCCAAATTAATCCATGGTGTCTCTGCTGTCTTAAATTTGGCCCAAAATACAGAACCGTTCACTCACTGACACTGGCTGTGCTCAGCCCCTCTGGCTCAAGCCACGGGTGAATTAACCTAACCCAAACTGGGATTATTCCGGATCCTGGTTTTGAAACACATTTTTTTGTATTGCATTTCCTATGACTAAACTTTTTATTGCCTCTGCCTCCCTGGGGTGGCAGCTCTTTGCCATGGCAACGTGCGAACAGCACGCTCTGTATCCCAGGAAATGCTTCGCTTCCTAGGCATGAAATCCGCTTCTCTGTGTTTGGACACAGGCTTCGAAAGTGTTGGTCTCAACTGGGAGCTACTGTTGTTAGAGTGACTTCTGAAACGCTTTGGGCTTTGGCAGGGGGAAGGGGAGTCGGGGGAGCCTGTGTGCATCTCGGCTTGACCGAGATGGGGGTTTTCCCACCTTTCTTTCTTCATTTTCCGTCTGCTAGCCATAACTGGCCTTTTCCAGCCTGTTCCTGGTACCAGCTCCCAGAGCAAAGGGGTTGCCAGGCTGTTTCAAAAGATGTACTGCAGAAGGAGCATGAAGAA